TAACCAATCAACATATTTAATGCATAATGTAAACAGCAAATATTGCTTAAGGTCTTTTGGTAAAAAACAAAAAAAATTATAAATCTGTAATACAAGCTGACCTTAATTATAACTCAGTTTAAAATGCTTAATTATAATTTGTGAAGATTCTGGTTTCTGATAAAATACTACTAGCAAAGAAAGTTAGATATTTATCATAAACTTCAGCTGGTATACTTCACTTGTCTGTTACTTTATTAAATTATTGGAAGGTAAAATTAATACTGTTATCCTCTTTTAAAGTTTGACCTTTCCCTTGAGCATCTAAGTAGCAAGGAAAGGTGATAGAGGGAATGAACGTTAACTAGGTACCTGTTCTGTGGCAGGGGCTCTAAACGTAGTGCAACAACTGGAGGGAACAGAAATTACTATTTCCATTTACAGATGAGAAAGCAAGGGCTTAACAATCATGATAACTTGGCCATAGTCACACAGATAGTACATGGTACAACCTGCCTGATTCTATTGCATATGATACCAAAAAATCAGAAGTGGCTTAACCCACCTGACATTTTGGTTATCCTACCTAATAAAGAGGGAATATGCTAATTGACCATCACACTCTCACAAGATGGTAGTGCCCACAGCCAATAAAGCGGGAATATACTAATTGACTGTCACCCCCTCACAAGATGGCGGCACCCACTGCCACAAGATGGCGGCACCCAGTTCTCTCAGCCCCTCCTCATCCAGCCAGAGTCCCCCAGTCCCCTCAACCCCACTGAGGGGCGCAGCAGACACCGTGCGCCTCATCCAGCTGGAGTCTCCCAGTCCCCTCAGCCCCACAGGGGAAGGCAGTTGGGGGCGATCAGGCCAGCAGGGGAGGGCAGTTGGAGGCAATCAGGCTGGCAGTGGAGGGCAGTTGGAGGCGATTGGGCAGGCAGGGGAGGGCAGCTGGGGACAATCATGCCAGCCGGGGAGCAGTTAGGCGTCAATCAGGCTGGCAGAGGAGCGGTTATGGGGCTATCAGGCTGGCAGGCAGAGTGGTTAGGGGCAATCAGGCAGGCAGGCAAGAGGTTAGGAGCCAGCAGTCCCAGATTGGAGAGGGTGAAGGCTGGGCTGAGGACACCCCCCACCCGTGCACGAATTTTGTGCACTGGGCCTCTAGTCTTCAAATAAACAACTACACTTTATTCTACTTAGAAGTATGTATTTACATTGCAGCAAAGTACAATAAAGAACCAAAATATCAACACCATAAAATATAGCTCGTCCTCCATGAGCTTGCAATGTAAACACACACACACACACACACACACACACACGTTAAGAAATACAAAGTGTAATTAATTTCAGGATGGAGCCACTAATGATATGGGAACTCAGAGAAGCCTGGGATCCAGGTGGTTTCAGCAGTCAAGAAAGGCCTTTCCTAAGGTGCAAGATTACATCTGGATCCTGGGGATGGAAAATGCTGGGTAGGTAGAATGAAAGGGTATCCCAGGATGGGTAAAAGCAGAGGTAAGGATGAAAACAATATGTCTAAGTAACAGTGAAGAAGCCAGTTTGACTGCTTCAAAGGACTGAAAGGAAACAACCCACGTATCCACCAACTGATGAATGAATAAACAAAATGTGATCTATCCACATGATATAATACTATCATCAATAAAAAATAAAGTTCTGATACATGCTACAACAGGAAGAAACTTGAAAACATGCTAAGTAAAATAAGTCCATCACAGAAGGCCACATCTATATATATAAAAGCCTAAGCGACTGGCCGACTGGCCAGTAGCCATGATGTGCACTAACTACCAGGGGGCAGACACTCAATGCAGGAGCTGCTGAGCGACAGCAACTTTGCAGAGTGCCCTCTCACACTCCAGGACCTGCCAGTTTTGGCCAATCCCCGCAGGCCAGGCTGAAGGACCCCACCAGTGCATGAGTCCATGCACCAGGCCTCTAGTATTGTATAATTTAACTTACATGAAAGGTTCAGAATAAGTAGTGGTTCCCAAAGGCTGGGAAGGTTGGGAAGCAGTGGAGAGGAACTGCTAATAGGTACAGGGTTTCTTACTGGGTGATGAAAATGTGCTAAAATTGATTGTGGTGATGGTTACACTATTCTGAATAAACTAAAAATCACTGAACCCTATACTTCAAATGGGTGAACTGTATTGTATATGAATTACATCTCAATTATTCCATTAAAACAAAATGAGGGTTCAATAGGATACCACATTACACAGCTAAGATGGAGTCACTTATGCTACGTTTAAGAGTATGCGATTTATCTGGTATGCAAGATTTACCTAATGAAAGCAGAGCATACACACTTAAAGATTCTTCTCTAGCAAAATAATTCACATGTTTTAAGTACATTCCTAAAATATATGCCAAAATCTCAAAGGAGAGAGAGAACAGGGAAAAGATGTTGCAGTATGATTTTGACTAATCCACAAGCTGTGACTATTAGGAAAGTTGTTTTGCTTCAGTGCTAAATGCCACAGATGGGTATATCAGCATCATATTTATGCAAAACTGCAAATTTGTCTGTGTCAAATCTTTAAGTACCATAATGTTCTAAACTTAATTGTGAAAATAGCATTAATAATTGATCTGCCACACTTTAGGGTAAGATAAAAAACAGTGTGATTTGTTTTTCATTGGATGACAGTGCTCTGTATATAATGCTTTTTTAAATATTAGATTCAATTTAAGTGTTATGAGAATCTCTACTAATGTAAAGCATTTCCTACTGATGTTTACTCACTTAACTCTAAATTCTAATTTAATATAATACTCCAAAATAGTCTTAATATACAAAATAATGGAGCTAAAAAGATAAATCTGACATTCAAAAGCAGAGAGCAAAAAAGAACGTCTGGATACTAAAGATCCAATACAAAGGAAAAGGAAAAGCACTCAAAAATAACCCTGAAAACCAGAGAGAGAAAAACAGAACTCAGTATTAGGTTCTACAGGATTGGGGAGTACAAACATTTTTTTAAAGGAATAAAATACATTTAAAATAGAAGGCTCAGTACATGAGATCAGATGAGGCTTTAACAGAGGCAACCTTCCCGCAAATCCCAGGCATGAAAGAACCTTTCAGGCTGCCTTGGCCTAAAGGTGAAACCCCAGGAGGTGGTGAGATGTGAAGAATACAAAGGAAGAACTCAGCTGGATAGCCAGGCACAACCAAACTACTGTTTGCCTTCTCAGCCACCTTGCAAACCTCCTTCAAGGTAGATGACCCCTAAGAAACTAAGAGAGATGTATCAGATCTCTTTTTAAATTCTCCTGTTGAAGAATGAGAGGACCCAGCTGTCTCTATCAGGGCTTTGTAAGTTCCAGCACTAGAGGAAACTTATGTTCAGGCCTTGAGAAATACAGACAACTCAGAAGACCTGGTTCAGTGACAAACAATAAGAAAACAAATAAGCCATCCTAAAAAAGAAGCCTTGTCAGTGATATCTAGAATAAGGTATCTGCTGTCACAAGTAAGTAGAACAAGACTCTCCATTTCCTCATTGTAAGCCAGCGTTTATACAAAGAAAAGAATTCAGGCGGAATAAGACCTTATTTCAAATCATGAACTGCAGTATGTTAAAAATAAACTTATCCAAACTTTTTCCAATTGTCTACCTACTCCAATAAAAATAAATAAATAAATAAATAAAAATAAATTTAAAAACTGTGGGAAAAGACAAGTGCTTGCCATGTTGGACATGTTCATGTACTAACATGTTCATGTTCATGGAATAATGTACTTCAAATATAACAATATCAAAATAGGTTAAATGTTGGAGTATTCTCTATGTAAACACCAAAACACATATTGTTAATGTTTACATAAATAAAAGTTTTCTTTTAAATAAACAGGTAGAGTTGATGACAGCATGCTACCAAAGACCACCATCAACAGAAGGTCCAAGATCCAGAAACATTTTAAAGTGATAGAATTACTGGAGAGGATGCTCTAAATTGTAAACATGCTAAAATTTCGACTAAACTAAGAACAGAAACCCAAGGTGCCACTAATAGACTACAGGATATTTTTTATAATGGGTGCCATGGAGAGGGATTTATTTTTATATGATCCTTCGATGAATAACATGGGACTAGAAACATAATCTATACACAAGAAAGGACAAGCAACTTGCCAGCACCTGAAACTGGAAAAGTAGATCAAACCTAAGGAAACAAGGATGACAAAATATCCCAGAGATAGATAACACCAGTTTTCCAAATCGGATTCTGAAAAACTAAAGTGAAAACTAATTTACTGAAAGGGGAAAAAAAAAACAACCCGTTGCACTAATTAAAGAAAAGTTTTAAGACAAAGTACACAAAGTACTTTAGAAAAATTTCTGTTCCCTAAGTATAGATATGTTCATTAATGTTGGCCACATTTGCTTTTAAGAAGCTAAAATCACAATTTTTAAAATAGTTGAGAGAAATCTTGTAAATATTTACAATAAACATCTGCCTTAAGCAATTCTGTAGAGCTTGTGAGATGCCACTTAAATGAGAGTAGATGCAATTAAATTTTAAAATCCCTCAAGTATTATTATGAAGCTCACATAGCAAAAGTAATATGAACAACTACCATATTTGCAGATTTTTTTTATATAGTAAATAGTATAGAAGGTTCACACTCTACAAGTAACTTAAATTAATCCCTGGATATTCTTGAGTCTCATCTAAACTTATTGGATGCTATGTGAGAACCACTAAAGCTGGAAAATAAAAAAAGAATGAGATCAACTCAAACCATTAGTTCTGTTCCTCCTCCAAGCAGTATTCTTTAAGTCAGGTATCTTATTTGATTTCAGTTCGCAAATGTATAAGACCACAGCTAAGTCTTGATCTAGGTGGGAGTAAGAGCTAAGGCATAATTATGCCAAAGGACTGCGCTCCAGCGGTGCCGTGAATCGGAACACGACCGCAGCGGGGCATTTCCGAAAGCGTGGTCCACCCGGGCAAGAGCGGCGCCTCGGGGACTTCGGGAGTACCTGAGCAGATAAACAGCCCTTTCGATGTCCCCGAGGTCCTCGTCAACCGTCAGTCTTTCTATTTCTTCTGGGGTCTGTCAAGCGCAAAACACAAGTCATGGACACAGCGAGCATCAGCCTTGGCCCGCCGCCACCCCGCCCCCCTCCAGGGGCCCTAGGTAGCTGCTGCGCGGAAGGGAAAAGTTTCTCAACGAGCCTTTTCCCTGAAAACGAATCAAGCATCTGAGGGAACTGTCTCCAATTGTTGGGTTTGGCTGGAGGAGGTTTGGGTTTGGTTTTTGTGTTTTGGGGCGTTTGTTGTGTTTAACTCTTCTAGCGTTTAGATTGAAGCTTGAGAATCAGCTGGTGGCTTCAGACGAGTGCTGAAATCCATTTTATATGCATATTTAAATGTATACACACTTTTTATCTCTAATATCCCAAGGCTGTTTCTCCAGCATTTTCCACCCCAGGAGATGCTAAAAGGGGTGATGGATGAAGACTGCAGCCGAGTGGGAATGAAAAGACGAAATCTGGAGCTGGGGGGGGGGGGGGCGGTAAAACCTGAAGCTGGAAGGAAATCAAAGGCTGGAGATGCTGAGGAAGGAGGGCGTGGGCGTGGGAGTGGGCGCTGCGGAGGGCCGGGGGCCGGGGCCGGGTTTGCCGGCTGTGAGGGCTGGACCTCCGCGAGGCTGGGAGGACGATGACTCTGCGGGTGGGGGAGCCGCTGGGGGTGCGGGGCGCCAGTGCGGGGTGACTCCCTCAAGACGGGTGGGGGGCAGGTCCGAGGAGGGCCGTGGCGGGCTGGGGGGGGGGGGGACTTAGGGTGACTCAGGGTGGAGGCAAAGGGTCGGGGGGCTATGAAGATGGGGTGAGGGCGGCCGGGATGCCTTGGGGAAGGGTGGGACCGGGGGCGCCTCCGGACGGGTGGGGCCAGGATGGCGGCGGTGTGGACTGAGGAGGGGGCCGAGGGGCGCCGGGGGAGGACCCGGGATAAGCCGAGGGGCGCCGGGGGAGGACCCGGGATAAGCCGAGGGGCGGCGGGGCCGACGCCGGGCGGACCCGAAGACGGGGCTCGGCGGCCGTTCTGCGGGCGGGTTGGGGAAGGCGCCAGGGGGGCCGAGGGCGTCCGGGAGCCGGGGACTGGCCCGGCCCGGGTCCGAGGAGAGAGCCAGGGCCCGGCCCTCGAGGCTGGGGGTCAGGCTGGGAGAACCAACCGGGCTGCGTCGAAGAAGGGGCCCCGGAAGGGCCGGTTTAGGGTGACACGGCGAGCGGAGGAGGCTGAGGGGCCGCCGCAGGGACGGGCCGGGGTCGGGGCCGGGCCGGGCGCCCAGCGGGCAGCTCCTCCTCCCCGGGGCGCGCACCTTGAGGCTCCGGCGGACCGGCCTCTCGATGATGGTGAGCTCCTGCAGGTCCTCCGTGTAGCCGAACAGACTGTTCTGACTGAAATCCATCGCGGCGGCGGACGGCGGCGGATGCATGGACCGCCGGGCCCCCTCGCCGCCCGGGCCGGAGCGGCCCCCGGATGCCGGACGCGCGCAGCCCCGCGGACGCCCGCCAGCAGGACTTTCTCCCGCTCTCGGCCGCGGGAACCTGGCGGGCGACGAGCGGCGAGCCGGCAGCGAGAGAGGGAGCGCGGCCGCCGAGGGGGCGGGGCGGGCCGGGCAGGCGAGAGGGCGGGGCTAGGCGCATGGGCGGGGCTTGGCGCACGGGCGGGGGAGGGGCAGGCAGGCGAGGGGCGGGGCTAGGCGCGCGGGCGGGGGAGGGCAGGCAGGCGAGGGGGCGGGGCGGGCAGGCTAGAGGGCGGGGCGAGATGCGCGGGCGCGCGAGGGGGCGGGGCCAGGTTGGGGAACGTGCCACAGCGCCCGCCTCACTCCCGCCCCTTCCCCCGGCTTTGCGGCCCTCGCGACCCCTTTACGCCCACCCCTCTCGGCTTCCAGCTCCCAACCGAGCGCGTCCCACCCCACGGCGCGTGCGCAGAGCCTTCCACTTGCCGCAACCGGTGAGGGCGGGTTGCGGGCGGGCTGGGGGCGGGCGACGGGCGGAGAGGCTGAACCAATGAGAGGGAAGCAAAGGAGAGGGGGTGGGAAGTAGGCGGGGTCTCGTTTAATGGGCTGGACAGTAACTTCCAAGGCTCCTGGGACGACCCATGCCCGCAGGCTGGCTTTGGACCCCGAGACCAGCCCAGCTCAGCGCTAGCCTTGGGGGAGGGGTGTGTCCCCCAAATAAGCCAGGGCACCGCGACTTGTGTGGGGATGATGGGGAAGGGGGCGTATGGGAGTGAGGTCCTGGAGGGGCTCGCATTTGGGAAAGGGCAGCGGTCAGGAAAGGACTCTTGGAGGGGAAGCACTTAAAGTGAATCTTAAACGATCGATAAGACTTTCCCAAAAGAAAGAAATAATAAGAGTAAAAGCCATTGCGGATCGAAGCCTGGGCGTGTTTGGGTTGTGGGACCTGCAGTCGGAGTAGACCTTGGCGAGCCGGGAAGCTGAGCCTGGCAGGTGGGTGGGGAGAGGCAGGTCCATTATGCCAGAGGCCTGCCCTGGGCAGCTACCATGCGTCCTCGCTTTTGATTCTTTTCGGAATAGAAAACGATGACGGGGCGACTGGGCGACTGTTTGGACGTCAGGAACCAGTTATGTTGATGAAACTCATCAACTCCTAACGATCAGCAAGGCCCCTTTCTGTCTTCTTTTTAACTTTGTTGTTTTCCACTCGTTCCCTCCTCACACGCCCGCCCATTTCTCTACCTCCCATGTGCATCCTCTTTCCTATGTTTAGGTACCAGTACAAGTGTATGTCCTGAAAAGTTTTTGTTTGCGTATCTATTTTTAATATACACGAATGGTCTTGTGCCAAGAACTCACTCTGTTTCTTGTTTTTCCCTCAGCATAATGCTTTAGAGGTCCATCCCTGCGGCTGCACAGATCATTATATAGCATTAATTCCTACCACCAATGGCATTGGATTTGGGCATCTAACACATTTTACTTATCAGCCCCTCAAATAATGGACAGTTATGTTGCCAGCAGTTCCTTGTTAACCACAGACAATGCCAGGATGGGATGCGTCCCTTACGGACCACAAGGAAAATGGAACTGCTGGGTCATGGCGTCTACAAGGGCTAGTTTCACTCTGCACCTCTCTCTCCAGAATGACTGTCGCTTGGCCCTCCCACCAGTGGCACATGCAGGTAGGAAGCTTCCTGTTTCCCTACTGTGTACAGTAACATTTGGTATTGTCTGACGTCCTAATTGACATCAATCTGATATTGGTAGAGTAATATCACAATGTAATTTCCATTTGTATTTCTTTGATGATCCGTGATGTTAATTATTTTTCCATAGATACTTAAGAATCATTGAGATTTTTTTCCTTCTGTGAAGTAGCTATTGACATTCTTTGCCTCTTTTTCTGCTAGATTTCCTATTTTTTTCTGAACGAATTGAAGGAGTTCTGCCCACGGACACAGACAATAGTGTGGTGAAGGCCTGGGAGGGGCAGGTGGGAGGTGGAAGGAGTCAATGGGAAAAGACAACAAAGGGGACATCTGTAATACTTTCAACAATAAAGATATTTTTTAAAGAATTGAAGAAGTTCTTAAATGTTCTAAATATGAATCCCTTGTCAGGTTTGGACATTGCAAATATCCCCCAACCTTCCATGCATCCTGTTAGCTTGGTTTTTGCTATCTTACAGAATAGGGGAAACCCTTAATTTTGGAGCGGCCAAATGCATCAGATTTTAGCTTTGCAAAGTGTGCTTTGGGGTCTTGTTTAACATCTTTTCTACGCACAGTCACAAAATATTCTCCTATTTAACTTCACACCATTAACTCTCACAGTTAGGTCTGAATTCATCCCAAGTAGGAATGCAATATTATTTTCACCAAGGAGCCAGTTTTCCCAGCAATGCCCGCCAAGCAATCCATCTCTTTCCCACCGATGTGTGATGGTGTCTGGATTAGATGCCATATCTCCACAGACACCTGTGTCTGTTTCTGAGTTCTTGTTGCTCTTCTGTTGACCTAGTCCTGTTCTTGCACCAGGGCTGCGCTGATCTTACTGCTATAGCTGTGCGACAGGCACCCTAATACCTGGTACAGTGGGTCCTCCCACTCTTTGCTCTTTTTCTTTTCCCAGTATTGCCTCTGAAGTTCAAAGCAAAAAAACAGTGAGTGGTTACCCCAAATCTGAAATTCAGGTTTTCCTGATCCTTCTTCCACTGAGCAGGGAGGAGGAGCAGAAAGTGGTATATCCTGACGGGATCAGAGAAGAGGCAAAGGGGGTGGGTTCTTTAGCAAATACCTTGCAGCCTCCCTTTTCTGTCAATTTCTGAAATTCTCCTCTCCCCCTTGATTTGTAACTGGTACCAAATAATATTTGCAGACTTCACCCTGTTTCAGCTAAGAAGTATTTTCTCATATTTGGATTTTGTAACAGCATCATCTGAGGTCCGATGGCATTCTTAATGATGAGTGATTGAATCACCAAGACGTAGCTTTCATGTTGGCTGTTCCAAGGCTGCAGGCGGATGAAGGAGAATGTTCCACTGATGGCTGGAATCTGTGACTGCTACAGCCACCACCTGGGGTGAAGATAGCCCACCTCGCCTATAGCCCACCCTCACCTATAACCCACCTCGCCTGAGGCCACCTCGCCTATAGCCCACCCTCGCCTGGCTGCCAGGAAACCCGATTCCCAGTCCTGACTCTGCCAGGAACACGCAGTGGAACAGCTCCTGGCGCCTGTGTTCCTTATCTGAACTGCTTTCTTGGGACTTGGCTCACTGTGCCCTAGAAGCAGCCCTGCGACGTGCGGCAGACATGCGCGACCATCCAAGTTGACAGGTAAAGAACCTGTGCTCTGAGAGGTGGTGTGACATGGGCTGCAGCACACAGTTAAGGAAACCTTCTTTAGTAGGAAAACTAAATGTATTGGCTCGTTCAACAAGAGCGTGGTTACTAAGCACGTGGACTTTGGCGCCTAACTACCTGAGTTTGAATCCTGGTTCTGCTACTTCCTACTGTGGGCAAGGAAGGTACGCACCACTCGGTCCCTCCCTTCACTCATCTCTGAGGAATAAAAGCAGTACTTACTTAGCACAAAGTCTTGTTGTAAGAACTAAATGAGAGAACAGATGTATGCAATGCTTAGAGAAATTCCTGGCACAAAATAAGCACTCCGTATTTGCTATTTTTATTACCACTAGACCAGTGTCGTCCCCCTCCCCCCTCTGCCCCATACCCAGCTTCAGAAAAGATTTCATAAACTGTGCTGAATCAACTGATTGTTGTGAGAGGCAGAATAATCCTCTCCCAAAGATGTGCACATCCTGACCTGACCGGTTTGGCTCAGTGGATAGAGCGTTGGCCTGCGGACTCAAGGGTCCCAGGTTTGATTCCGGTCAAGGGCATGTACCTTTGTTGGGGACACAACCCTGGTGGGGAGTGTGCAGGAGGCAGCTGATCGATGTTTCTCTCTTCTATCCCTCTCCCTTCCTCTCTGTAAAAAAATCAATAAAATATTTTTTTTAAAAAAAAAGATGTGCACATCCTAATCCCCCATCCTGTGACCATGGTAACAGATATGGCGAAAGGGCCTTTGGAGACATGACTAGTTGAAACATCTTGAGGGTGGAGATTTTCTCTTGGATGATCCAGGTAAGCCAGGTAATCACAGGGTCCTCAGAAGTGAAAGAGGAAGGCTGGAGTCAGGGCCTGTGATGTGAGGCAACAGAAACGTGACTGGCCATGGCTGGTGGTGAAGACGGGAGGGCACCACAGCGGGCAGCCTCTAAAAGCTGGAAAAGGAAAAACCAAACGCTCAGCTCCCCTAGAGCCTCCGGATGGAAGTGCAGCCCGCTGACACCTTGCAGTCCGGCCAGGGAGACCAGCTCTGACCTCCAGGACCAGCCGTGGGCAAACTACGGCCCGCGGGCCGGATTCTGCCCGTTTGAAATGAATAAAACTAAAAAAAAAAAAAGACCGTACCCTTTTATGTAATGATGTTTACTTTGAATTTATATTAGTTCACACAAACACTCCATCCATGCTTTTGTTCCGGCCCTCCGGTCCAGTTTAAGAACCCATTGTGGCCCTCGAGTCAAAACGTTTGCCCACCCCTGTCCAGGACCCAGAGAATATATTTGTGTTGTTTCTAGTCACTAGGCCAAACTGCAGCCCCTTGAGTGTGGCTCTTCCACAAAATACCACATACGGGCGTGCACGTACAGTGAGATTGAAACTTCGTGGCCACACTCAAGGGTCCAAAGAGCCGCATGTGGCTCGCGAGCCGCAGTTTGCCGACCAACACTGCACTAGGCTGATGGTCACCTGTTACAGCAGCAATAGGAAGTGAATATCATTGTCTGTGTGAGAAAGATAGTTCAATTAGCCTTCTCCCTCAGACCACACACCAAAGTCAGTTTCAGGTGAATAAAAAGCCTAAACATGAAAGATAAGTCTTCCAAACTTTTGAAAGAAAACAGGAGAATTGTTTTATGATATCAGACAGCATAGGGAGTGTTTTCTTTTTTCTTTTTTTATTGATTTCAGAGAGGAAGGGAGAGGGAGAGAGAGATAGAAACATCAATGAGGAGAGAGAATCATGGATTGCCTGCCTCCTGCACGCCCCACACTGGGATCGAG